GCAAGTCTAACAAAAGAGCACAGAAATACTCAATGGGAGACTCCCAACCCGTTCTACCCATCGCTACAATGAACGCTGGAATCCATCGGCCCTCTGAGGTGGATTGTCAGACAGGAAGAGGCCAGGCACAGCCTTTCTCAGGAAATGCAGTGACGAATCAGACCAACAGTAAAAGATGTAACACGAGAACGAAGATCAAAAGAAAGTTGAAGCACCTACATGAAAGATCAGACGGGCCGAGATGCGCCCGACTCATGCGGGGGTGCGTGTGCTTGTGGGGGGTCATGGGGTGTCAGGGCGTGTGTGGGGCTTGGGGGGTGCATACGGACAGGTGGTATATGGGGTGTGTGTGCGGTGTATGGGACCTGTGTGGGACACGTGTGTGTGTGGGGACGTGAGGGAGGTATGCTGTGTACAGGGGTGTGGGGTACATGAGCAGGAGCTGGGACCCTCACGGAGACCCCTTGCCTGCTGCCACGGGTCAGATGGAGGAGGCAGCCCTACGGAGAGGGGGCTGGAGCGGGGGAGGCACTTTGGAGGCAGGGCTGGGCGACAGACTTTGAGGCGCTTGGACAGGAGAGTGTCCAGGTCCATACGTGTTTGGGGCCGGGGTCACTGCAGGGACGGCCCTGGCAGGGCTCGGGGGAGACCCCATTCCTTTTTTTTTTTTTTTTTTGCTTTTTGGGTCACACCCGGTGATGCACAGGGGCTACTCCTGGCTCTGCGCTCAGGAATTACTCCTGGCGGTGCTCAGGGGACCATAGGGATGCTGGGAATTGAACCCGGGTCGGCTGTGTGCAAGGCAAACGCCCTACCCGCTGTGCTATTGCTCCAGCCCCGAGACCCAACTCTTGAGGTCACTCCCACGTGGCGTCTGGGAACCCCCCCAGGGTGGAGGAGGAAAGGGGTACGTGGGCATGCCTGTTCTCAGGGGTCCCTGACATGACCCTCGCCCTCCAGGCACACCAGCTGCCTGGAGACCAGGACAGGAAGCAGGAGGGGGACAAGTGTCGCCCAGCCATCACCTGGGGTTCCACAGAGGGCTTCCCTGGATCCCAGGCCGTAACATGGGGACCAGGGGGAACCCCCACCCCTCCCCCACCCTGGATGGTCCACGCCCACTGTCACCACCCGAGGGGGCCAGGACCCCGGCAAGGCCATCCCCGCGATGACATCACAGTGCAGACGCGCCTTTGCGCCAGGACCCGCTCGCTAATGCGATCGTGCGATTACATAATTAACCCAGCTGTCTCATTAGGAAAATCAACTGGAATTCAGGGGTAATTAGTCTCCGCGCGATTAGCATGCTGATGAGCGCCTGGTGAGCGGCGTCGAGATCGCGCCTGTGCCAGGACCACCCCAGTCAGGGCCCAGGGGAAGCCTGCAGGAGGGGCAGCAGTCAGAGGCCTGGCTGGTCAGCGCCCATGGCCTTCAGACGTGGGGGAGGGGGGCTGGCCAGGCCCCGAGGGGGCAGGGGTGTGGGGAGGCGGGCAGGGGTGCCCACCATGCGGCCTGGTTGGGGGCACCTCTATCCCTGGCCAGGCTGGGCTCTGCCACGTGAACGAGCCTTTTTCCTGAGGGTGACTGAGACCAGGGTGGGGGTCCTGAGAGGCGCATCCTGAGAGTGTGGGCACCAATGGACGCCGCTGCCAATGCCCTGCGGCCTGGCCGCCAGGAGCTCCCCGTGCCCTTTGCACTGAGTGGGAAGGAGGAGTTTCCTGCAGACTCAGCAGCATCTTCTCCCAGGAGCCCTGAGTAGTGGCCAGGAGGCTGGAGAATCCCAGTGACACGTGTCCCCACCTGGGGCCAGGCGAGTGGCCCAGAGGACCCAGATGCCACCTCCCCCTGGGAGGAAGAGAAGCAGATCTCACACAGAACAAGTCCTGCCAGCAGGGGGGTGGGGTGGCGTGGGGTGGGGTGCGGGGAGTGTGTGTGTGTGTGTGTGTGTGTATACTTCAGCGGGTGTGTGTGTGGTGGTGTTCCTGGGGCCTCAGATGTGTGTGTGTGTGTGTGTGTGTGTGTGTGTGTGTGTGTGTGTGTGAGTCACAGGGCCAGGGTGCAGGACCTGGGCAGGGAGGCCTGCCGTTTGGTCCTCTGAGGGTCCCCTGCAGCTGTGTAGTTCCCTGGGTACCAACACACGGAGCTCTGGGGCAAGTGACAGTCCATCCCGCTGGCCACGGGCTTCCACCGGCCAAACCCTGACCATGCGCTGACTGGTCTTTGCAGGCTTTGGCCTCAAGGACCCCTCAGCAGGAGCTCGGGGCACTGGCGAGAATCTGCAGCCCAACCCACGGCCTGCCCCCGACTCGGTCCCTCTCCACTCTGTGACCTTCCGGAACAGCATTTCTGCTCCCCGGGCGGGAAGGCCGAAACTCCACTCGACATGCTCATCAGCGTGCCCTGCAACCACTCAACCACACTCTGTGCTTCAGCTCCGGACCCATCCGGGGGCCGTGTAGATGGCAAGCTGGACAGTCCACTATGCAGCCCGCCCTATCTGAGGGAAACAAACACAAGCCCATCGTGGAGCCCTGAGGCCAGGGCCACGGCCCCGTGCGGGCACATGGCAGGGATGTGCTCGTGAGCGGCGAGGGACCGTCCTGCCAGCTTAGGTATGACACACTCTCCTCTCCCCCTGTCCCGTTTCCCCTGCATCTGAGGTGATGGCCAGGCCCTGGCTCATAGGGAACCTTATGAGGCGAGGTGACGCATCCCCGGAATCTCTTCCTGGACATGTTGGGCCCCTGACAGTCCTGGACCCCTGCTGTCACAGCACTCAGGAAGGCAGACCCGGGGCCCCACCCGGAGAACCCTGTGCCAAGCTGCCGGCCGACTGCTTCAAGCTGGTTCCTTGTGGGGTTAATCATTAGTGACTTAATAAATACAAACCTCAATTAGACGGGTTGTAAAGCTAAAAAAAAAAAAAATTAAACACCTGCAAGTTTACGATGATCCCTTTATGTGGATTGGACCCAGGGAAAAGGCATCAAGGAGGGAACTGACAGATGGGGCCACCGACAGTGGCGCTGGGAATGAGGCCTCCTCAGGGACCTGCAGGAACCGCTCTCGAGAGCCACAGCCGGGACCAGAAAGGCAGGTGCGGAGCTAGTGCAGCCGTCAGCAAGCTCATGGGCACGGTCAGCTGAAGGCTGCCTCCGGGCGTGTAGCACAGGCTGCTGGCTGGAGTGGAGAGCTGGGATGTGCATGAGGCAGGGGGGCAGGGAGACGGATGTGCCAGAAAAGTCCAGGGGAGCCAAGGCAGGGGACCCAAGCGCGGTATGGTATGTGGCGCTGTGCTGTGGGTCCGAGCCTGGTCGTGGAGTGCCAGTGGTGGCATGTGACCCCGAGAGTTCATCCCTGCTCCTAGCCCTGAAATGTATCAGAGATAGGAGCCAGGGCAAGTTGCGTGTGAGAGCATGTGGGGTCCTGGGGGGGGGGGGGGGGGGGGTCAGGCAAACGCAGAAAACATCTGCGTGTGCATCAAACACGGCCACGAGTCCACTCACGACCGACTATACAGAGGCCACTGTGGGCAGCAGCGGGCAGCCCCTGAGCTCCTTCTTGGGGGCAGGCCCTGATGCCTGGCTCGAACCCGGGTGGAGGGGCCCCTGGGTGCCAGCTGGGTGCTCAGGAATGTCAGGAGGAGGCCGGCCTGGCTGACTGGGGCCCACCTTGCCAGCTCCCAGTGCCCCTGGAGATGCTGCCCACCCCCACCCCTTACCCAAAAAATCTAGGGTCTGACTGTGCATGGAGGGATTGGAGATGATGCACTGAGAGGCCGGACTGAGAACCTTCTGGAATGAAGCCCATCCTGCAGGCGAGTGGTCAGGATGGGGACATGGGCACATTACAGACAGTAGGCACTGGAGATTCTCTGGGTCTCTGGTGAGGGCGGAATGAGCCCAGCCCCTGCAACTAAGTCACGAGGTCCAAGAAAACCCCGGAAAGGCAGAGTGGGGGGATGGGGGTTGGGGGGGGGCTGCTGCCCCAGGCAGGTGGGAGATGTACCCGCCAGGCATCCCTCAGATCATTCACCTGGGGGAGCCTCCAGGAACCCCTGGGTTGATGCAAACTCCAAAAATCAAAAGGCCGGGAACGGGAACTCAGAGCTGGGAAGTGCCCACGACAGGAATAGGCCAGACCCGCTTGAGGGAGACCCTTCTTTAGCCTGAGGCCGGTCCTTTAGTTTAGTTGTGTTCTGGGTCACACCCGGCAATGCTCAGGGGCTGTGGGGGATGGACCTGGGTAGCCTCTGTACAAATCAAGCGCCCTCCCCCCCTCCCCGCAATATTGTGGCTCTGGCCCCTTGGCTGTTTTCTCTTCCAGATGAGCAAACTGAGTCTGGAGAGGAGAGGAACGCGGGACGAGGCTGTCCCCAGCACCAATCTCACGCACGTGCAGCTTCCACTAGCACCACCCCAACAGAATCCCCCAAAGGAGAAGTCGAGGCTTTGTTTTATTCCATTCTGGCAATTCTAGGAAACCCAGGGGAGGGAGGGAGAGACAGACAGACAACACTGCTGGCCAGGGCAGAGTAATCTGCCATCCTTGGACTTAAGTGACCCCTAACTGTGGCTCTAAATCTTTCCGAGCTGACTGGGTAGACGCAGTCACTGTGTCCCTTGCTGTCCCCTGGACTCCAGGCTGGGGACCCAGGAACAGAGGCCAGTGGGCAGGGCCTCAAGACACCTCCGCTCTGCCCTGAACCCAGGAGATGGGAAGGGAGCCTTGTAACTCGCAAGTCTTGTGACCGCAGCTCTGTTACGCCCAAAGCAGAAACTGCCCACATTCTCAGCCACAGTGAATGCAGCCACGATCTGTCCCCTGGTCACAACACTCTAGACAAAGACGCGGGTGGCCGGGTCACCAGGGAGGCCACCCCAGCTGCTCCTGAATGTGGCTGCAAGTCAGCCCAGACCCCTGGCATGTGCAGCCGCTGATGGTCTGGTTCGGTGAAGCCCCCCACCCAACCAGCATCTCTGCGGCTGCAGGCGGCTCACCTGGGACATCGATCAATCTCTTGTAGACATTCAGGAAGGCGGCCTCGGCTTCTTTGCTTCTTTTACTCAGTGCATCAATCTGAAGGGGAATGGAAAGAAAGGAAAAACAGGGGTTAAATGAATCATCATGGCACGTCCACAAGTCTTGGTGCAAATGCAGTTAAATCTCCACGTGAATGCCGAGAAGGGGTGGCAGAGGGGGGTGTCTCCCCCACTCCCCCGTGCTGGGCGAGCAGTGAAGGGAGGAGGCAGGAGCGAGGCCGCTCCCTAACCTCGGGCCTCAGGGTGGGGTGGCCACGGTGGGTGGCCGGGTGCCATCTCCTTTCCCTGACTCAGAGCCGACCCACACGGACGGAGACACAGCTCCAAGGGGCAGGCCTGGCCCTGGGGACCCTGAGAAAGATTATCATAGGACAAGTGAGATCTGAACTGTCCCTTCAAGCGGCTCACGGGGGCTGGGGCAGCCGAGCCAAGCAGAGCTCGTCCCCACGTGGCCCACAAGGTTCTCTGGGAAACCTGACTTCACTCTCGCTGAAACTGGGGGTAACGGGGGGGATGTTTTGGATTAAGTCCAGCCCCAGAGTGTGGTGGACACACAAGCTGGGGAAGAGAGAGGATCTCCTGGTAACCACAGACAGGGCTGCCAGCCCAGGTCATGGACCTGGGTGCGGGGTCAGGGTGCGGGGCGGGAAATGAATGGACTGGAGGCGGCGGCGGCTCGTGTCCTGGTCTGGGCCTGGAGGCCTGGAGTGACAGGAAGACACAGAGAAGACTCGGATACCAAGAGCTCTCATCACTTTTCTTTTTGTGTGTGTGGGCTGACTCAGCTATGCTCAGGGCTGACTCCTGGCTCTGTGCTCAGGGATCACTTCTGCTGGGACTTGAGGGACCATATGGGATGCTGGGGATCGAATTTGGGTCAGCCCTGGGCAAGGCCAGTGTCCTCGCAGCTCGGAAGGGTTTGCCAGACGGCCTTCCAAGAAGTCGGGCCAGGCAGAGGCGTGGGCTGCCGGGGTGCGACGCCTTCCGGCTCCCACTTGCCGGACGCGCTGGCAGAGACAGCAATCCCTTTCGCACCTGAAGACGCAAGATGCAGCACGCACGAGGACCGTACTGGCTCGGGGAAAGGACACCAAATTACACAGTCCTCGGTCCCTCAAGGAATTAACTCTCGTCTCCAATGTTATTAAAGAGGCAAAAGGATGTGGCTTAATTACAGGGCCCCTGGCCCAAGCCAACCAACAATTTGGAAGAGGCCGGGAGAGGCCGGTCCTCGGAACACGACGGGCAGGCCCTCAGGAGGGGACCTGGGGCCAGTGGCAGGAGGGGATGACTTTGGGAACCCGAACTGAGCAAGCAAGCTTGAGCCCTCCCAACGCCAAGAAAGTTACTCTGGGAAACGCCTGTCGGGACACGGGCCTTCCCCCAGCGGCTAAGACTGTGAGATAGGTGCTTGTCAACTTCTCAGGAGCCAGAGAAGGACGATGAGCTATTCAGGACTATTCTCAAATTTTTAAATGCCTCCCCTCCCCCCTTGGTCATTTACGTTCACTGGATGTTTAGAAAAATACCAAAAAGAAAAAGAAACCGTGAAGTCCTGATTTTGCCACTGTCCAGGGGAAGCCGCTGCTGGCCTGTACTTCCCTTCATTGCTTTTTTAGGGGGCTGCGGCGGGGGGGCAGGGGGAAGTTTGGGCTACACCTAGTGGAGCTGGGGTGGGGGTGCATCAGTCCAGGTGTTGCTCAGGGAAACACAGGCAGTGCAGGGGACGGAGCTGGGAACGGCCACCAGCACGGCAAGTGGCCTCACATCGTGACTAGCGCTCCGACCACACAATGTTTTTCGCCTATGACAAAGAATCCTGAAACTTTTAGGAAATGTAGGCCAACTGCAGAGGGCCAGCGCGGGAGGAGGGGTGTGGTGGGCGGACCCAGGGCTTCTGTGGGCGACAGAATGTCTCCAGTGAACGTCGGGGACGGCTGCACACACGGGTTTCACTGACAGTCACTGAGCTGCAGACTTTTGTTTTTGGGGCCACACCCGGCTGTGCTCAGGGCTGACTCCTGGCTCTGCACTCAGCCATCACTCCTGGTCGTGTTAGGGGGATCATATGGGATGCAGGGATTGATCCGGGGTCGGCCTTGTGCAGGGCAAGTGCCCTCCCCCTGGACAATCCTGCCGGCTTCATTCCAAGGGAGCTGTACATCACAGTGCTCACGCCCTCAATAAAGTCATGCCTGTGTTTCGCATCCAGTCACAAACCCTTCTTAGCAAGTACCACCAAACCCAAAGGGTCTGTTAGTGCGGCTTTATCCGCTCTGACCCCTGCATCGGCCGGGTCTTGAGACCAGCGTCTCCCCAGAGCGTCTGTGGCCGCTGCCCGAACCCCCTTGCCCACATGGGCTTCTCTGACACTCGGGATCTGGCGGCACTGGCCTGCAGCAGCCCTGGCTAAGGGTGCAGCGTGAAGGAAGGACGCACAGCCAGCTGGTGACCGGGATGTGGGGGTGCGTCGGGCACTAGCACAGCAGAACGACTCTCTTAGGGCTGAGGTGTGTCCCCAGAACAGCCAAGTCCTGGTGCCTGGTGCCGATGGGGACAGGAGGGCAGAGACTCAGGGAACCCCTCCTTGGCCCCCACACAGGGGTGAATGCTGACTCGCCACGCATCTCCTTACGGACAGGGATGAGGTACCCAGCTGCAGCGTGCAGCGGCAGGCCCGGGTCCAGCATGGCCAAGACACCCCCCCCCCCCAACCAGGAACCAGCCCCCCCAGGCAACTGAGCCCAGGCTTCGGGGCTCGGGACAGGCCGACACACCACCCTGGGTGGGATCTGGCCATGGCACCACAGATTCACACAGGCTGCAAGCCCCTTCCCCATGGCAAAGAGGCCAGGCGAGGCTGGGAGGCTGGGCGGGCGCCCCACGGGGACCCATTCCCACGAGGGGCCTGAGGGTCCTTCTAAGCAGGTCCAAACACAGAAGGACCCGCTGGTCCTGGGAACTGAGATGCCTCAAGTGCCCCCCGCCCCCGCCCACGGATCTGTCAAGGGGCTGGATGGAGCTGTGACAGCCTCCGATGGCCTCTCTGTCCACCGAAGGCCCACCAGGCGTCACCAGGGCAGGGCAGGCAGCGCATGGACACGCGCGTGTGCAGGATGCAGTCTGGCCCCGTCACTCGGGAGGGAGGCAGAGGCGCGGGGGAGTGCCCGGAGGGACGGCAGCCCGGAAGGAAGGGCTGAGGTGGTGTGGGCAGAGGTGGGCCGGCCCGGGGAGAACCTGCTCTGCTCCCCGCAGCCCTGGGCCCGCCCCACGCTCCGCCACACCCGCGACTCCCGCTCCCTGAACACAGAGCAATTTGCCCGCTGCCAGCCGGGAAGGCGCCGCTCTGGAATGCTGATCCCGGGCTCAGCTGATCTCTCAGCCCGGCGCCCCTCCCTGCAAGCAGGGGACGGTCCCCGCGCTCCCAGAGGGCACCAGGTTCAGCAGTGCCTGGCTCCTTGAAAGCCTGCACAAGGCGCTTCCCCAACCTCACCCCACCGCACCGCACCGCACCCCACGCCCCACAGCAGGCAGCACCCGAGGGTGCCTCAGCTGTCTGGTCAACACTGTCCACGTCCAGCACCCTGGGGGGAGGTGCCAGCTGTGCCGAGCCTCCTTCCCCCACGCACCCTGAGTGCCCTTCCGCCCACTCTTCTGGACACCCACAGCACCCCTCGGAGGCCTGAGCACTTGTGTGATCCCGAATGTTCCATAGCAAAGGACTTTCGTGAGAGACGGTCTGTAGGAGGGGCCTCCCTTAGTGCAATAAAACCCTGACACCAGGTCTCGAGCGACAAAGTTCACGGAGACCCCCCAAGAGACCCCCGCCCTTCCCCCAGCCACCTGCCCCACGAGATGCTCAGTCTTGCTGCCCATGACCCAGACACTAATGGTCCAGGCTGAAGGTCCACGCGGTCTCAGGAGGGGGCGACAGGGGGCAGTCAGCTGGCTGAGCAGACTGGGCCGGCCTGAGGTCGTTCAATCCCTGGTGCCGCCTGAACCCCAAAGCACAGAGCTGGGAGCAGCCCCCGAGCACGGCTGGGGGTGGCCCAACAAGGCATGCACACGTGGGCCCACCACACACAGGCACACATGCCTGTGAGTATAAACACACACACACACACACACACACATACATATGCACACATGCACTTGTGACGTGGTTTGGCTGTGGTCTACAGAGAGGTCAGTGGGCGTAGAGAAGACCCCCCCCCCCAGCCCCAGCATGAGACCCCTACTGCCAACGGGAGGCAAGAGTGAGAGCTGGGTGGAGGCTGGGCCGGCTCCCATCCCAGGGCCCAGTGGGCAGCCGACGAGTCACCAGGCCGTCTGCTATGCAGGTGGCTGTCACCTAGCAGCAAGCAGCCAGGCGCGAGGTGGCAGGGAAACTCCGGGTGAAGCCCGCAGCTGCACTACCTGTGTCAGAGAACTCCGGGGCATGGAGGGCGGGCACAGCCCAGGAGGAAGCGCCGTGTGCTCCACCCTGGGTTCTACCCCTGTTCCTCATGGTCCTGGAACACAGCCATGACCTGCCGGGACATGGCATCAGTGGCTGGAGGCTAGCAGGGGCAAGGGGGGGGGGTCCACCGAGTGCTCCCCAGAGAACAGAGCCTGGGCGGGAACGGCTGCCAGCAGGGAGTGCCAAGCGGGCACCTGCAGGTGACACTGAGCCTCACGGAGCCTGGGACTGTGTGCCTGGTGCCTGCACTCCAGCTTGCGATGCATGGGGGTGGGGGTCACTGGTCAGGCAGCAGTGCTGACCTGCTGATGTCCCCGTGGGCATGCCAATGTGAGGACGCTGACACAAGGAAGCCGTGCCATGGGAAAGGCTCATGTGTCCTGGCGCCACCTGGCATCACCTCGCCCTTGCCATGCACAGGTGCAGGGTGGAGGGGGGTGGGGTGAGTGCCAGGGCTGGGGTCCGGGCACCAACATAGAGCGTGGGGGCGCTGGCTTGGCCGCAGAATCCCTCTCGCCGTGCCTCGGGATGTGCTGACAAAGAGAAGAGGCATCGGGTGCCGTTAGAACATAAGCATT